GGTTCAACATCTGTTACTATTTGCTTGACACAACAATCTGTGAACTACAGATAAATACTTCTTATAGCCCCAGTGTACAGATATGGAAGCTGAGGCTCAGGAAAATGATTTGCCCCCCTGGTCACCCATTAATAGCCAAACCAGGGAGAGCCAGGTCCATCCAGCTCCTGATCCTGTGCCCTCTCCCTGTGCAGAGTCACTTTGTACCTCCCGCCCTGTGGCAGGGGTCTTCTCAGTGGGTTCAGACTCAGCAGGAATATTGGGGCAGTGTGAGGGGAAGTGAGCGCTTGTTCATGATCTCAGAGTCCTAGAGACCCAGGCTGAGTTGCTGTGGTGAACTGAGTTGCCGTGGTGATCAGTAATCCTCCAGGCACCACACAAAGCAGATAAGGAGGGTGGTGTTGATGCTGGTGGAGGAAGATGGGGCATCAAACAGTTGCTGATGAAGATAAGACCTTTCCTTTGTAGTTCCCCTCTTTGGCCTTTGTGGACTCAGTGTCTCTGGCCTGTCCAGCCTGGGTGGTCATGTCCTTGTGGCCGTTCCAGTTCTTGCCCTGAGACTTGGGCTGTTCCCTGAGCTGTCATTCCCTCTGGCTGACTCCTCTGCTTACCCTGATCTGAGATGAATGAAAAGTGGCCGTTTGGAGGGTGACGTGGCATGAAGAAGACAGAGGGAGAGAGACATTTTTGCAGTTCTTCGCATGAAGTCTGATCATCAGACTCATGATCCGGTTCCCCAAACCCCATGGGTTCACTCTATTTCCTGCTGCCTTCTGAGCCAGGATGGAAATATTTATCTAGTTTGTTCCAGAGATTGTACTGGTCTCCCCTGGGTGGACCAGGATTAGCTGATGGCCGGAGGAGTGACTTGGTCGGAGGGGTTGAAGCCAGGAGCAGAGGACAGGCCTGCAGCTGAGGTGCGGCAGAGATGACTGGAACCCAGCTGTCTCCCCTTTCTTCCTTTCCACTGTGGGGAAAGATAACCTTGGCCACAGTGCCGACGCTGGCCCATACGCCACCTCCTGGCAGCTGCTTCTCAGAGTTACTGACCCATCGGTCATGATTCCTAGGTGCTTCTCACCTGAACGTTGTCATTGAGCAAGGGGATGGCTTGCTCGCCTCCTCTGCTGTCCAGCGCCGCAAGGAATTGGTGAGTTTCAGTTTTCCTGCTCTTTTTGGAAAGGAGGTAGTATAGAGTTAGTGGATAAGAGTTGTGTTTGAGTCTGGACCTGCCACTTACCAGCTGTGTGGTTCTGGGCAAGTTACTTGGCCTGTATTTTGCCATCTAGAAAAGGAGGTGTCAGTAGTCTGCTGCTCATAGGGTTCTTAGGAGGATTAAATGAAATAATCCTCATAAATAGTGACAAGTACTCAGTACATGTTAGCTGCTGTGAGTAGTCAGAGTGTAGTAACACATTCAAGAAAAACTTGAGCCAAAGCATGGAAGGTATTTACTGTATGTTGGTGGGTCTCCCTAGCACTTCCTGAATCATGTCCGTCAGTCTCTTTGATACCCAGGAAAGTGCAGGGAGTAGGTGGAGTGCAGGTACAGTTTGATCAGAAGTCGGGAGGGTTGTGCGTCCATCTTCCCTTCACCATTGAGCGTCCTGGGCATCTCAGCCCACCTCTAAGCCCTCGACCACATGCCTTTGTGTTCAGTCCCTGTACTTGGCCAGGTGGCTCCCCTGCAGCCTCACTGCCTGCTCCTGTGTCATCTGTGTTGATTCCTCTTTTCATCCTCAGCCCTGAGCGCTCAGAGCTTATTCCTCGGACGCCTCCACCGCCCTTCCTGTCCGTCCTCCCTCCTTGGGTTGTGATACCATCAAGACTCATTGCTTTAAATACTGAGCATATGCTGACAGCTCCCAAATGATAGATGTAGCTCAGCCTCACCCCTGAACTTCAGACCATATCTCCACCTGCTTATCTGTCAGCTGTACTTGGGTGTCTGTCCGTACCTCAAATTAATTTGGTGAAACCTGAACTCATGACCCCTTACCCCACCCCAGCTCTTCCTCCTGGAAGGTTCCCCATCTCAGTGACAAGCAGCTCACGCTTCCATTTCCAGGCCGAGACCTTGGAGGCATCCTAACATCTCTCTTTCCTGTTCCACACGGAGTCTGTCAGCAGACCCTCCCTGCTTTACCTCCGCAGCATCCCCCAGCCCCAACCCCCCCACCAGCTCCACTCTCACCACCCACCAGCTCCCTTGGACGATTGTCTTTGCTGTCTGGCTGGTTTCCCTGCTCCCACCCTTCTCTCCCCGTGGACAGTATGTAATGCAGCAACAGCCAGTGATCCTGTTAAAGTGTAAGTCAGACCATGTCTCTCCTCTACACAAAGACTTCTAGAGGTTTTTCTCTCCTCACTAAACTCGGTGCCTGCTCTATGGCCCGCAAGGCCCTGCTGTCCCCAGTCCTTCATGCTGCCCCACCCAGATTGTACTTGCACACCTCACAGTTACCTGGGACATGGACACCCCATTTATCACCCCCATTCACGTTAAAAGATGGACTACTGGTCCTCAGAATGGCCACAGAAAGTGGGAAATAAGCATCATTACTGTGGTATTTTAGCAAGTTCATTATTCTTCCAAAATTGTGCGCAGCTACAGTGAGGGAGAACGAATATTAACTTACAGACTTGATACTTAGGGGGTGAATCTTCGCCTGACCCAAAGGTAACAGCAGGCCCCTGCTGCGTCGCCAGCCTCCCTGTGCCGACAGGGAGAAGGGGATTGGTCCACCCGGAGCTGGGTGTAGCGGGTGTATGAAAGCAGCCCTTCCTTGGTTGATGTCCCAGGCTCTGTGGCTCCATTCCAGGGCCAGTCATTCATACCTCCCTGAAAGGCAGGGGCTTGTCAGACTCCAAGTTTGGGTCTCAGCACCCACAGCCTTGGGCCATGTTTTTAAAGGAAAGGGGGTTGCGGCCCCAGGGTGGAGTGTGGCTGCCCCGAGCCCTGGGGGCTTCTTAGCAGCCCAAGGAACCCACCCTCCCAGCACCTCCCGAGCGAGGTCCTCTCGAGTGAGGGTGCCCCCCTTTGGGGCCGGTCTCTGCACCCAGCATGGGCAAGTGCCATGAAGCCATGGCTCCTCGCCCTCTCTCTTCCCCACATTTAGTTCCTATGCTCAGCTCAGCTTACGGTGCCTGCTGAGTGTCCTCTTGGTGGGGAAAAGAGGGTGGGGAGGGGACAGGCTCACTCTGTGAGGAAATGGGGGGAATCCAGGCTGGGAGGCCCTGGGCTGGGCCACTCCTGTTCTGAGACTTGGCACTTGCACAGGGTAACAGGTTCTGCCTGTGTCTCCTCCAGGCTGATCTGGCTTCTCAGGTGGTTACCCAAGTCTACTATCCTCCAGGGCCAACTCCAGACCCCTTCCTCCATGAAGTCTCCCCTGACTGCTCTTCCGCCTTCAGAGCTGGGCAGCAGCCTTGTGAAGAGGGATAAGGAGTGCAGGCTTTGGGCTAGACTGCCTGGGTTTGTATCCTGTTTGCCCCTCAGTAGCTCTACCATGTCCTTAAGCAAGTGACTTAATTTTTCTAACTCTTAGTTTCCTCCTTTCTGAAGTGGGACTAATGACAGCCTCAGGGCTGGGGCGTGGGGACTAACCGAGACAAGCTTGCACAGTGCTTACACATCCAGGCACTAATGGTTAGTGAGGCCCAGACAGCCCAGCAGTTGTCATGGTGAACTGTGTGACCTCGTCACGCTAGTACGGCTCTCACCTTAGATCATCAAGGGGTTGAGGACAGATTGGAAGGTCTGGTTTGACCATAATAGCAGCAGCTAACAGAGTGCTGGCTCTGCAGGAGCTGTTTCAAGCCCTGCCTTGCCCATTAATGCAGTTGATCCTCTATGAGGTAAGTACTCCTATTATCCCATTTTACAGATAAGCACACGGAGGGTGGGTGGGCGAGCCTGAGTGACTTACCTGAGGGCACAGAGCTGCTAAGGAGCAGAGTTGGGAGTTGAACCTAGGCCGGCTGGCGCCCCATCGGTCTTCTACTCATTGCCGCCTTGATTTACAGACGAGGGCCCCAGGCTCAGAGTGGGGAAGGCACTTGTACAGTCTCCTGGCAGGTGAGCACCCTCGTCAGCCCCAGCTTCTCTTCTTGCCACCAGACCCAGCCTAGTGCTGTGCGGGTGGACTGTGAGCCCTCCGTCGGTTGTGAGCCGGCTGCAGTTCCTGAGGTGTGAGCTAGGAGAGGGTCCAGGGTGAGGCAGGTGGCCCGGTGGTGACTCCCACCTGAGGCCAGACAGCACCTCCCCACTCTCACAGAGCCCCGAGGGCATGGTAGCTTGCCTTCTCCCTCTCTCTTCTCAGGGGCTTTGTGGCGGGGTGGTGCACATCCTCCTGGGACCTGAGCTGTCTCAGGGCAGCGGACAGGCCAGCCTCTGTGCACCTCCTGGGCTGGCTCCCGGCTGGAACACGTCTCTCAGCTCTGCAGCTTTCACGGGAGAAAGCGTGAGTCACCGGGGCCTCTTGGGCTCCAGGTGAATGGAGCGCTGTGTGAGGGACGAGTTTCTGTCTCTCTTGGGCCCCACAGGCTGGTGACCGCTCATGTGATTTTACTGGAAGTTCTTTCTAAGAGGTCTCCGTGACCCATGGGCTGAGTCACAGAGTAAACACAGTCTGCAGGGCCCGCAGTGCTCTTGGGAAGGGCGCAGACAGTGCGTGGCCCAGGCTGGCCCAGAGCGTGCTGCTCTCTCCACGCCTTCCGCCTTGACTTGGTTTGCGTTCCACCTGCAGGCCCTGGCCAGCCACGGACCCTGCATTCTTTCCGGCTGCGGACCTGGCCTGGGGCTTGGCAGAAATGCGGAATCTCAGACCCCACCCTGATCTGCCCAGGTAGAACCTGCACTTGGGCCAGGCTCCGAGGTAACTCCGACAGCCAAGAACCCCTCTCTGGTTCCCAGGCCATGAACCCCCGGGGCGCCTGCTCTGCTCTCCTTTGCTGGAAACGTTTCCAGATCATCAGCTTTCTCTGTGCCTGGCAGGACCTCTGCGCAGGCGTGCATGAGGCTGCGGGGCACGTCCTGAGGGCAGTGCCTGCTCTCCGTGGGCATGGGGGCAGTGCAGGGGGCGCGCCTTCGTCTGGGCCTCTCCTGGAAGTGGAGGATGTGTAGGCATCAGAGCAGGTGGGGTGCAGGTGTCTTGGACATGGCTGAGAGTGAGGGGCTGTGAGGGGCAGGGGCTGCCTGTGAGACAGGACTCCTGGTGGCCTCTAGATCTGATTGTGAAACCCCAGAGGTAGATGACGCTTGACACCGCCTCTCAGAAGCACCGGCTTGGAAAAAAGACCATGTGACTCCTGTGCCAATTCCCAAAAGTCCTGACCACACAGGCCTTTTAAGACCACAGTAGCCGCAGAGACAAAGCATGACCAAGACAATGTCGTCTTCAGGCCCTTTCCACCCCCCGAATGACGTCTAAGGCCCTGGGAACATTGTAAAAGCTGGGCCCTGTCCAATTTTAATCGCTCCTTGCCGGCCCCCCACCCGTAGCTCCCAGGAACCTTGCCAGCTGACTCGGGGGTGGTGATGCCCAGAGATGGAGGCAGAGATGTCACACCGTCCCTGGGTCAGGCCCCAGAGCTCCGGCAGGACTTCGGGGACAGGGGAGAGGAGCAGAATGTGTTGGTTGGCCAGTTGACTCCCCCAACTGGGGTGGGAGATGGGCGGAGGGGGAGAAGGCTGTCTGCCAAGTTTAATTAACAGTGGAAACTTGCCACAGGGAAGGAGAGAGACCATCTGAAGAGGAGGGGCTGTTTACTGGAAGATGGGGCACTGCTGATGCCAGTATGAGGAAGGAGCGAGGCGCTCCTACAGGGCGCGTCCAGCAGAGCACTGGCGCCCTGACCGCCAAGTTGCAGGCAGGATTGGCTTGAACTCCGAGAACCTGGAGGTGTGAGTGGGAGAGTTTATTTATGCCTGCGTTTCTGAGTTGGCGTCTTTTGAAAACAGTCCATCAGCCTACCAGCTGGCTAGCCTTCCTTGCCCCCATGCATGAAAGAAATAATTGAGAAAATGGCGACTGTGTTTAAAAATAGGCATTGTGTTGCCCCCTTGCTCTTTGAGGCTGTCATCGTCTGCCTGAACTGCATCTGACTTTGTTTCATGGATCCCTACCCAACACTCGACATTTATGACCTGGGAAGAGAGACCATTTGAGAAGTTTGTGATGCTCATTGTTTAAAACAAAAATGCAGAGGCGTTGAATGGACAGTGAAATGAACTCAGTGTGGGTTGAACTTGCATACAGGAGCTATTTCATTGAACATTCCTATTCGTGTTTTTTTTTTAAGTAGGATCAGGGCATTTCAGGGCTGAATAGGGTGTTCTGGTTCTAGCCTCCTTCTGATGATGTGCAAGTCCCCGCTGATTCCCAGCCAGGTGTGCTGGGGGCAGCATGGACTGTTGGGCCACCCTGACCTGGGGCTTTCTCCACATCTCCCTGCTGTTCCCGGCGCTGCTGCGGCAGGCCATGCGGAACAAATGGAATCCCTTCTGACAGTCCTCCTTGAAGACAGAACACTGGCCCACTCCCCAACTCATTCTCTTCAGTCCACGCGAAACACCTGTAGGTTCTTCAGAGATTCTCACAAAATGTGATCATGAGGTCACTGGTCTTTCCGGGCCGCTGTTCTAGTTTCTGCCATCACCAAAGCCCCCCTTTTCTTCTCTTCTTTCGCTCTCCTTTCATCTCTTTTTCGTGTGGGCACACCTGCTAGCTCAGATGCACCGGTTGTCCACCTCTCTGCCCTCCATTGTGGTCTTCCCCCCCCCCTAATTTTCCCCTTCCCCTGGGGCCTCTCCTGCTCCCCGCCTCCTCCTCTCCCTCTCCTCAGTCTACTCCCGTCTCCCTTTTCTTTCCCTCCTGAGGGTGTGTTGCATGTATGGGGTGACTAGTCAGAATTGAGATGGGAGTGAACCCGTTAAATTTGGCCCCACATTTCTGGTCCTGGAGCCCTAGATATTAGTTCTTGGCCGCTTTCTGACACCAAGTCCTAAGGCTTGTTCACATCCCATCCTGGGCTCACCCACCATGCCCAGTACACACCCCTCTTCATTGTAGTTCTTTTGGTTCCAAGAACAAAACATTGCATTCCTCCCGTTATCTTGTTTTGGGTGACCCACCATCTCTGCGTGGTGCTTTTTGAAACTCCCAGTTTAGTCTCCGAGTCTGTTCACCCTCTTAACTTTGTGTCGCCCATAGTCTTGCTAAGGAAAGCACTCCTTCTGTTGCCATGAATCAGTGGAGAGTGGAATCGCTGAGGTGGGGCAGGCGAAGGATCCCGTAAGCCGCCTGGCTGAACGCTTCATCTTACAGACCAGGACAGAGTTTCAGGAAACTGACGTGATTTGCTCAGCATCACCCAGCTCCTTGCACTCGGATACGAGCTGAGTTCAGAAGCTGGGTTTCCTGACCCGGAGGCTTTTCCTGATGCTAGGCGGGAATATCCTGTTTGAAAATATCAGAATTCAAACGAACCCATAGTGGTTGTGTGTCTGTGGCCAGGAGTTGTGTGTCTATAACAGTGATGGCGAACCTATGACACGCGTGTCAGAGGTGACACGTGAACTCATTTTTTTGGTTGATTTTTATTTGTTAAATGGCATTTAAATATATAAAATAAATATCAAAAATATAAATCTTTGTTTTACTATGGTTGCAGATATCAAAAAATTTCTATATGTGACACGGCACCAGAGTTAAGTTAGGGTTTTTCAAAATGCTGACACGCCGAGCTCAAAAGGTTCGCCATCACTGGCCTATAACATTGTGTTGACAAACAACAACAAAAGGTGCTACTCCCTGGCTTCGAGGACAGTGTAATTGCTCTGAACTTGATGAGTAACTTTTAATAAGGGGGTAGACACTGACTAAATTATTAAGGACTGAGCTTGAATACAGTTAGAACCTAAGAACAGAGTAGTCTTGCAAAAACCACAGGTAGTTCATCGACGGTCAATTTATGCTGTTACCCTCTGCATGGAAGCCAGAATTATATTGATACTGTCTGTGGGGGATCCTCACTGCATTTAACCAGGGCATGCTGCTCCCTCGCTGAGCCTTTCCCCAGATGTCCCAGTAGGAAGCCAGCCGGCATTCCAAGTTCCACGCTGCCCGCACATACATCAGCCTCCAGAGCTGAGGGTGCGGAAGGTGAGGCAGAGGCACCAAAGACTCGTCCCTGCCCACTGCCCACTGCCCCTGCCCTGCCTGGCCCTTGGGATTCGGTTTCTGGTCCCTGGTGCAGGGCCGTTTCTCAGCCTGGCGATGGCTGAAGGTCAGTTGGTCCGGCAGTGGTCTGGGGTATAGACAGGAGGCCCCTTGGGGTTAGTAACAAATGCTCTCCCTTTCTGCCCCCAGGCTCCACCTACAGCGTCTTGTCCATCATGCCCTCCGACTCCGAGAGCAGCAGCTCCCTCAGCAGTGTGGGTGAGTACCGTCTCCCGGCTCCTCCTTCCTGCAGAGCCGGCGGGCCAGGGTCTGGGCGTGAGCCAGGGCAGCCCCGGGTCCAGGGGATGGGAAGCTGGCCCTCACCTTGGATATTACTCATGGGCTCACCTTCTGTTGATTCCATTTTCATTTTCTTGTCAGTCTTCTTCGTGGAGAGGGCAGGAATCTGTCTCTGGCCGTCGAAGGGTGGTGGGTGCGGGGGGAGGCACCTGTTTTGCTGTTCCGTCACTTGTCAGGGCACAGGACTTCTCAGAGAGCTCCCCCGTCCCCCACCAAGGCCACCTGTCCATGAGACTGGCCCCTTGGGGACTGTCCTTTAAGCAGGAACAGCCTGCCAGGGTTGTTGCCATGGGGACAGGAGTGGCAGTCCATCCTGACATGGATGTTTCCAGAAGCCCATAGCGTGAGGCCGGCTGTGCTTTCACTTGACTGAGGACATCCTGGCAGGAAGATTGCTGTAGTCCCCCCGCTGTCCCACACCGCTGTGCCTGCCCCTGTGCCACACGCCCTCTGTTTAATACCCCGGGGGCAGTTTCTGATATCCCGAGCTGGTCTGGGTGGATGGGGACTGCTTCAGTGGTGAGGTGACTCCTGGAGTTTTTGAGTTGAAAGGGCTCACACAGACCGTCTGGTCTGTGTATTTGGTTTTCCTTCCTACAGATGGATGGGGAGATTTCCATTCAGGGAGGGGAGCCTCACGCCAGAGATTCCAGAGCTCGGGGGCAGGCCTTCCTGGCTGTGTGCTCTCAGGGCGACAGCTGAGACCCCTCCAGGTGCCAGAAGTGGGTTTGGGATGTGGTGGTGACCACAGGCGTGGTCCCCGTGCTTGTGCATCTTGGGGTCTATGTGGGGAGACAGTTACAGAAGTGTACAAAAGGTGAGGTCAGAGTGATCGGAAGGGAAGACAGGCACGGTAGGGGGTACTGTATTCATTTGCTATGGCTGCCATAGGAAGTACCACAAGCGGTGTGGCTTGTATGACAGAGGGATTTTCTCACAGTTCTGGAGGCTAGAGGTCTGAGACCAAGGTGTGGTGTTGGCAGGGCCGTGCCCCTCTGAAAGGTCCAGGGGAGGGTCTGTTCCAGGCCTCTCCTGGCTGCTGCAGCTGCTAGCAGTCTTTGATGCTCCTTGGCTTGGAGATGCATCACCCAGTCTGCCCAAGCCTTCATCCTCACATGATGCTCTCTCTGTGTGTCTCCAAATTTCTCCTCTTAAAAGCACACCAGTCATATTGGCTTAGGGGTCTCCTTACTCGCCCAGTGTGACCTCATTGTAACTTGATCATATGTAAAAACCGTACTTCCAAATGAGGTCACATTCTCATTTACAAGGGATTAGGACTTGAGCATCTTTTTGGAAGACAAAATTCAGCCCCTCACAGGTTCCCTCATCCTGTGTAGGGTTCAGGGAGGACTCTTCTGGGACCGTAATTCAGAGCTGCTGAGTCTCTATCACTTTGTCCTTCCTGCTTTGGGTCCAGGAGACACGCTGATTGCAGGATGGGATTGTTGGAATTTCGAACTTGGGGCTGGCTTTCAGGAAGCACATGGGTGTGCAGTCGGGATGAGGAGAGCAGTGAGGTGCAGCTTTTGTAAAGCTGTGAACTGGTTGAGTCCTGAGTGTGTACCCCTTACCTCTCTCCTGCTTCACCCTTTTCCAGCTTCCTGTTCCTTGGGAACGAGGTACAGTGATCTAACTTACTCAGCTTCACATCCACACTGCAAGGCTGAACCCAGCACCCTTTCCGGGAGCATTTGCATGTTAAAAGCGGGCTCCAGAGAGAGACCTTGCTTAAACCACAGCGAGCTAGAGCAGGTGTTTTTCCAGACCTCCGCATGCCTGGAAGGAGCCTTGTCAGTAGCCCGCCATTTAGCTCTGCACACACTGGTGGTCCTTGGGATGGAGAGGTCAGCAGTGTCCCCAGATCTTGTTAGCAGGCAGACAGGGAGCGTGCTGTGTCTAGATCTTGAGTGCCGCAAGACCGGGCTGCATCCCTCAGGTCCAGCCCTCTTCAGTTCACCAGAACAGGGTTTGCTTCTCTCGCTCTTCTGCATGCAGGTGACGCGCCCTTGGGGTGGCTAGCTCCATGTCCTCATGGCTGCAGCAACAGGGATTACCAACTCACACCACCTTAAACAATAAAGACATGCATGACCTTGAACAGTAAGAAGTGAACATCCATGGTGTGGTGTCCTCCCCCTCAGGCTGATGGGGACAGTGTCCCGGGCCCTGATGTCCATTATGGGAGCCACAGGCCATAGGTGGCTTTTACAGTAAATTCAAAATAATTAAAATGAAATAAAATTTCTAGTTTCAGCGGTCACGCTAACCACATTTCAGGTGCTGATGACCACCTGTGGCTAGTGGCTACCGTCCTGGATAGAGCAGGTAAAAGAACATCTCTGTCGCATGAACTGTCCTCTCAGAGGACAAGAGGGTTGTCTCGTTATGAGCAGGGAAGCCTTCCCCAGAACTCCCTCAGCACAGTCTCCTCTCACTGAACCGCTTGTCCACGTCCGAACCGGTGCTCACCCAGTGTGGCCCCTGGACCAGCAGCCCTCGGGCACATGTTAGAAATGCAGGTGCCAGGCTCTACCTCCTGCCTGCTGTATCAGAAGCTCTGAGCGTGGGCCCGCATGTAGGCGCCCTCCTAGTCTGGGTTGGGTGGGCCTAACCTAAGCCCTGGCAAGAGAACCGGAATGCGGGGGCTGGCGTGGACCAGCCCTGGGTGTGGAATGAATGGTGGGGTCAGCCGCGGGACCACTGCGGGGCCTCCTGGAGAATCCGTCCTGGCTCAGCCTTCACCCAGTGCCGCAGCCCTTCCTTTCCCGGGGGCACTGGCCAGTCAGGTGGAGACTGGCTGTTTCTGTTCGAACCCAAGGAAAGGCAAGAGAAAGGTCTTAGAATAAAAATGTCACCTCTGCTCTTCCATGTATATCTCCCTAACAAAGGACATTTGGGAAGAGAATGGCAAGTTGTATTCAGCATAAGAGAAACTGGTAGATGAAACCTTGAGTATATGACATGTTCTTAACGTTGGGTCTCCTGGTTGGCGGTAGATCCTTAGGCGGTCTGTCCCGTTTCGGCTCTCCCGCTTGATACCTCACCCTGCCTTTGCCAGGAAATGGTCCTTCCTTCCTTCCTTTCTTTCTTTTTTTTTTTTTACAGTGTAAAATTTTTATATTTAGAATTAGGCAGCTGGATTCATTTTAGATGATCCCAGTTTTGTTGGCAACACCCAAAGCATCATCGTCAGGAGCCAGTCGAACATATGCCTTCTTCTCGCCATCGGGCCTCATCAGGGCGTTGACCTTGGCCACCTCAGTGTCATAGAGCTTCCTCACAGCCTGTCTGACCTGGTGCTTGTTGGCCTTGACATCCACAAGGAACACAGTGTATTGCCGTCTTCTGTCTTCTCCATGGCTGACTCGGTGGTCAGGGGGATTTGATGGTGGCACAGTGGGCAGGCTTGTTTCTCCTGGGTGCACTTTTCTGAGGATATTTGGCTGCCTTTGGAGCCTCAGTGTCTTTGGCTGTCAGAAGGTGGGTGACGTGCGGATGCGGATCTTCTTTGTGCGGCTGTGGGCGCCTTTCAGCACTGCTTTCTTTGCCTTCAAAGCCTTTGGTTTGGCTTCGGCTTTGGGAGAGATAGGGGCTTCCTCCTTAGCTTTTGGCACCTTCTTCACCATCTCTGTAAAAAGCTCCAGGCAGTTTTCATCAGCTGAGTGTGGAGGCTTCTTGGAGGCCCTCCCCCATCCCCTGCAGCCCTTCGCTAAGGAACCTGCCCCCCGGGGAGGCCCCAGGGATCTGCCAGGATGGCACACTCCACATGGTTTCCTCCCCCTACATCCACACCTGACTTCCCTGGTGTCTTTTATTTCTCATCTTGAGTAACTGGGGAAGTTTTAAGTAGAGGCATTCTTGGGTGGCATTTATAAAATGAGGCTTAAATGTCGTACAAATTGAAGTAACAAGAGGGATTTCTCATTGAACAGAGCATTCTCTGGCCTGTTGGCAGGGCTGGGAGCCTGAGAGCATCCTTCATGTCCCAGCGACCATTTCTTGAAAGTGCAGCTTCTGGTTGACAGGGAAGGTGGAGGCAGGGCTGCACCCCGACTCTGTGTACCCTCTGACCCTTCCTTCTCTGGTCCTTTGGGACCAGGGGCCTGTTTTTCTCTCAGTTCAACAGAGGAATAGGAGCATCTCTCCTCTTGGAGCGTGCGTTCAGTCGTGTAGGGATCCCACTGGGGCCTGGCCCCTGACCTTAGAGTCCAGCCAGTGTCTCAGTCCATCCAGGCTGCTCTAACAGAATGGATGGCTCAAGACAAGCATGTATTTCTCCCCGTTCTGGAACCTGGGAGGTCCAAGATCAAGGTGCTAAGGCCGCTGCAGCGTCTGGTGGGGCTCATTGCCTGGCTCAGTGGTGGCATCTTCCCGCTGGAACCTACCTGGCAGGGTTGGGAGAGAGCTCTCTCTGGGGGTGGGGTTCCTTTATGACACATTAATCCCATTCATGAGCGCTCCAAACTCATAACCTAATCACCCCAAAAGGCCTCACCTCCTAATATCACCCCTTCGGGGTTAGGATTTCAACATAGGAATTGGGGTGGACGGACACAAACATTCCGACCTTGGCAGCAGAGATAGGCTACTGGTCGCTCTGCCGTGTGAAACAGAAAGGAGCAGCCCGGGAAGGAGCAGCTATTTCTGATGAGTGCTGCAGAGTGAGGTCCAGGGAGGGGGCCCTTCAGGTGGGCGTCCAGGGCATGGCTCCGGAGGCAGGAGGCCGGCTCTGTGTGTCTGGGCTGGGGTTTCTGCAAGCAGATCCCGAGTTTAGGACTGAGAGCAAGTAGCTTATCTGGGAGGAGAACTGGGAGCTGGGCAAGGCTACAGCTGCTGCTTGGCGTCTAACCTCCTCTCCCTGAGTCCTGGGAGGAGCTGAGCTGTGGGCTGCAGGACCGAGGAGGCCATGCCCCTGG